TGCACATCCATCTTAGTATGCAAATTCACTTTTTAATAAATGGTAAAATTATATATGCCAAAGAATTGAGGTGTTGGGGTTTTTTGTAGTTTTTCGAGACAGGGTTTCTCTTTGTAGTTTTGGTGCCTGTCCTGGATCTTGCTCTGTAGACCAGGCTGTCCTCGAACTCACAAGAGATATACCTGGCTCTGCCTCCGAAGTGCTGGGATTAAAGGCGTGCACCACCACTGCCTGGGAGAATTGAGTTTTTTAATTTATAATTTATTATTAATTAATGGTTGATTTGCATACCTGAGACCACACAAAAATTTCTTAGTTGAAAGGATTCACAAGTGAAATGGGATTCAGAAGCGCTGGACTAGGCCATGCTATGGCCAGCATGGCTGATCGCTGGCTCCCAGCAGTCCGCACTCCGTGAAACCTTACTCCACATTAGCCCATTGCTGACATGATTACTTGTGACCTCCATGGAACTAGCCTGCCACGTTGTAAATGAAAATGTAAATTGAGCGCTGGAGAGATGGCTCAGAGGTTAAGAGCACTGGCTACTCTTCCAGAGGTCCTGAGTTCAATTCCCAGCAACCACATGGTGGCTCACAACCATCTGTAATGAGATCTGACTCCCTCTTCTGGCCTTCAGGGATACATGCAAACAGAACACTGTATACATAATAAATAAATAAATCTTTAAAAAAAAAATGTAAATTGAAGGTGAGTCCTCAAAGACAGATTAAACAGCAGAAGAACAATTGTTCTTTCTCTTGAGACTATGCATTAAACCCTCTCAGTTCACAGAAACATTTGAAGCCACATCAATGAAGGAGTCTTCCTTTCTCCTATATTCAAAACCACACAACAAAGCAAAAAACACCCATGAAGGTGATATTGTTGAGCCCTGAGCACATCCATGGCAGAAATCTATGGCTTCGAGAGAGCCTACACCGCACTGTTTTCTGCAAGAACAAACAAATTTAGGAGCCAGATGTGGTGGCACATGCCTTTAGTCTTAGTACTTGGGAGACAGGTACAGGTGGATTATGAGTTCAAGGCCAGCCTTCTCTACACAACAAGTTCGAGGCCAACCAGGGCTGCGTAGAGAGATCCTGCACAATTAAATTACTTACTTAATTCTCCTTCAAATACAATACATGATATATTTGTCAGTGTGTTAACTAGTTCTGGCAACTGGGTGATTGACGTCAGACATACAGTTGTAATATAAAAACGGAAACTAAAATTTGACATAAAATTCACCTCCCTTTTTTTACTTTTAGTCAGATGAAAAGCTAGAGGGAAAAGATAGCATCAACTATTACATGGCTTGTTGCAACTTTTTTTAGAATATATGACCCCTCAAAGGAGAAATATCCCCCCCCCCTTTTTAAAGGTTCTTTTTATTCAGAAAATAATATTGACTTAGCGTATAAAATGTAGCATAAAGAAAAGTCAGAAGAAGGAGAAAATAAACTGTCTCATTACTCAGAAGTTCATTTTCTTTTCTATTTCCTCCCAGGATTTTACCTTTATACCCATCCTATTGACTTTAAAGATCATGCTATAAATAACATTTTGTATCCTGCCTTTTTCTCTGAACTCTGTAACATAAATACTCTCCCATGCTTTAGAGAATTCAGATACCCAAGACATTTTTTCAGTAAACCTAAATTGCCAAAAATCCAATATGGTACATTTGAATCAAGTGTAAATGTAAGTTAAACATATCACCAGAAGGGATGAAAATATGGAAGAGTGGAGGTTTCATTCTCTTTTAATTCTATTGTTAATAACTCAAATGGAGAACAGATTAAACCTTTTTTTTTAAGAACCATTCTTCAGATTGTAAGATTTCATATTCAGTGAGAATGATCTGCCTCTCATCAGCTACCCGTCACATGATACTTACACCTACACAGGGCTGTATTTGCTTTGCCTGACACAATGAAAACTATTGGGAATTACCCAGGGAAATATGCCAAAGGATTCTTAGGGGCTCTTGAGTTTTACATTTTTTTTCCCAGTTACACTAGTGAAAAGGAATTCTGTGTGAGGACTTGACATGGGGTGCAGCTGCAAGCCTTTTGAATGTGCTCTGGTGAATTGGTCCTGCACCAACTACACTGTAGAAGATTCTAGAATTTCTGTGAATTTATTGGAAAGAACAGTTTTTAAAAGTCCAAATCACTCTCTGCTCTGAAAATAGAGACTTTTATTTCCTCACACTGGAGGAAAATGAAGATTCTTTGTGTTGGTTTTATTTTTGTTTTGTTTTTTCAGAATGCCAAGTACCCAATTTAAATTTCTTTCTTTGAATGTTTCAACCCATTTTTTTTTGGTGCAATTTGGAAACAACTGTACTGACTTTGGAAGACTTTCCCTTTCTACCTTAAGTAACATCTGTGAGGTTTTCTTTAGGTTGTACTAATGGCGACCTAGGACATCGATCATTAAAAGAAACGAGTGCTAACAGGGCCTTGAACTCTTCACCTCCGTCAGCTGTAATGGAAAAAACAACCAAATGGACTGTCACATTTATTGTTAGATAGTAACTGACTTTTAAAACCTTCCAAATCATAAAGATGCCTATATATTTATGGCTGTTTGTACATGTAACTTGGGAGTTCATGGTCAGGCCACGCGTAGCTGGTGCCCATGATCCTGTTTGACACAATTCAATTTTAAATGTACTTCAAATCTTTACCTCTTGTCTCTGCATGAGAAATCTCTTTGACTTTTGAATAGACCTCTTTCCAGTTGTCACAGAGTATCGTGATAAATCTCCCCTGTCACTAACAGCAAACAGTGCTAAGAAAAGACTTCCGTGGCATTGCCAGACTTTTTTGGTTGCTGTTCACGTGTGCCCCGGACAGGTGTCAGCAATGCAAGAAGTGTGGGCAGTTTTCTTCTCCTATTAGCACGTCAGAATTCTTATATAATGTCGTCTCAAAAGTCATAAAAATCACATGATAAATGTTGTAGATTCAGCACCAGGAAGGCAGCCGCAGCTTGGGGATGGTGAGAGAAATGCCTGGCCATTTCCATAACAAAGAGGCTTCCTAGAAACAGAAAAGGAAACTTTGCTTGGAAGTTACTCCTTGTGAAACCCACTTGATGTTGGGATCTGAGCTCAGGAAGGATATGGGGAAAAACTTAAACCACATTTTGATATCAAATGCAGAGATGGGGGTGAAATAAAATTTTATTGTCGCTCTCCTTTTATTGCTTCCAATAAATACTTCCTACTTGGTGATTTTCCTGTAGTGTGTTCGTTGGCAGCGAGCTGAACAGTCCTGTGTTTCCAATTAAGACTTGGATGGCTGGCTAAAGTTTGAGGTCATCGCGGGGTGTGTCTCCTTCAGCTCTGCCAGCACATCCTTGGGAGAGAAAATGGAATCCTCCGTGTGACATAAAGCGCAGCTCTACAGACAAATAGGTGGCTTTTGCAAGACGCTGGTGTCTGTGGGCTCTTTGCTTTCTTTGATTCAGGTTGCATCTACAAAAGTGTGACGTTGACTTGCGTAACAGTCTCCGCTTGGACTCCCCTTGATGCCGTGCTATTTAGACAGTTGGAGAGGGGCCTGATAAGCCCTCTTTCCTGTGACCCAAGCATTTCCGGTTTATTTCATCAAGTAGTGTCTAATTGGCCCATCAGAAATCCCTGCTGTGTGGTGGTCAGCAGCGGCCCGTTTGTCACTGAACTCATCAGTTCTTCTTGGTTCTCATCCTGTTTCAGTCCTTGTGGCTCTTCATCTCTAGACGTGGTCTTTCTTAGCCTCCTTCCAAGCGATGTCCTGTCCTGCTGCCTTCTCCATATGTCCTTCTTGACTCGGTCCTTTCCTGACTGTTCCTTAAAGGACAACGTACCCAATGGCTCTTTACTTATCTTTACTTCTTGTATGCTTACATGCCCTGGGTGATCTTGCCCATTCGGAGCTTTGAACTGTTGACTGTAGCCACACTTTCCATCTGTAGGAAAACCCACTAAAGCAGATGAAAGCCTAGAGTGCAATGCCTTGTCTTCAGCTCACTCTGCATTTCATGTAGGTAATATTTATCCAATAGTCATATAGCTTAGACTTGAGGTCTGCAGGAAGTGTCCCTTGATGTTCCAAAGCGAGTGAAACCTTGTTCCACATGCTTTTAATACAGCGCCTGCCCTGTTTCCTCCTCTTGGTGTTTATCACAGTTGCTATGATCACTGAGTTATCTGTATCTCCCATCAGTTAGAAGTCCTGGTAGGGAGACACAGAGTCTGACATGATCATCTTTGTGTTCCAGGGTCTAGCCCAGTCCCTGACTCATGATAGTACTGAATAAATATTTACTGTATGAATGACTGACTGATCATGTCACAGGGGTGTTCTGAGCGAGCTGAGGACAAAGATGTATCAGAAGGCACGCCTTCCTCCTTGTGATAACATCACCAGATTTTGTAGGTTAGAAAACTCTGTCGTTAGAGTTGTTGTGGCCAAGTTTCCTAGACACCCTGGCTCACACCATATAACTCATAAAAAAAAATGAGGTTGTAAGCACTGAAGAGAAAATTTAAGGAATTTTAGTGATGGTTAAAGTATGCTGTAGAACGGTGCTATGGGACCTTACTTGGGAATGAAATATCACAGAATACAGCAATATTATGAGCATGCAAAACTATGTCTTTGTGTGGTGTCCTGGGAAGTCAACTCCTCTACGTAGGGGTTGCCTCCTGGGTGTGCAGTGGACTCTGGACTTACTCATCTAGCATTTGTACTTTTGACCATGTTGTCCTCTACAAAATTTATAATTGCAAAGCACATAATTTAGTTAAACAAGAAAACGTCTTTTAAAAACCTCAGTACTTGAAGTAAGTTTATGATTTTGTGTTGGGCCAATTTCATGGCTAGTCTGAGGTGTGTGTAGCCCACGGGCCTCAGATTAGTTGAACCTCCTAGGATGTAGGCAATAACAGGGAATCGGATGTCTCCTTTGGAACAAGAGACTTGGTCCTAGAAATGTCACCTGGCCTGCTCACTTTGGCAGCACGTACACTAAAATTGAAATGATACAGGGAAGATTAGCATTGGCCTTACGCAAGGATGACATGCAAATCTGTGAAGCATTCCATATTTTTAAGAAATTCAAAATCTAATACAGTATCCATTAAAACATCTCATGGGAATGTGCACTCATGTGCGCGTGTGCCACCCCACCCCACCCCCCCCCCACACACACACAGTGTCACCTGGCAGTAATGAGCTTGAATCTACCTGTTGGATATGGTGAGGACCAGACCTGGATATGAGCATCTGGGAAAATGTGGGCAAGCCAGTGGGGATTTTGGGATCCCTTCTAATCCTGAGAATCTGGCCCTGCCTCACTCATTCAGCAACCTTGGAGAAAGTCCCTTTGCCCACTCTACCCCAAATAAATAGCTCCGGAACGCAAAAGCCAGGATAGCCCCAAAAGACACCACATCAAGTTGGTGGTCCTGACTATTTTAAAGACTATTTTTTGTGCTACTCTCTAAAATGAACATTATTAACACCGTGACCCAGTAACTCTCCATTTTGATCATGTGGCCTTTCACTTCTGTGGAGCCTTGCCACATGGCTTGAGGCTTACCGGCATCTTCACATGCTGTTTGTCATCACGGCGGCTGGCAGTGTCTCTGTGACTCAGCCTTCCACTTCCCAGCTTTATTCTCCTCCTTGTCCCGCCTATACTTCCTGCCTAGCCACTGATCAATCAGTGATTTATTTATTGACCAATCAGCAACACACTTGACATACAGACCATCCCACAGCACTTCTGTGCCTCTGACTTTAGCTTAAACATGGCCCATGTGCTATGCCGGGAACATTCCAAGAAACTCTAGTCTCAAGTATAATGGGAGAGTTTTGCTCACTGCCTGTGTCCTTGGATTTGGATTTGAAATCTCAGCTTGGTTTTATAAAGGTTGTCTTGGAAATGCCATTTAAATTCATCCCTCTACCCCCAAATCAGGATCACGCCCACCCCACTTGGAGAAGGGAAGAGTACAGTCACCATTGGATTGGTGCAGGCGCTGACCGCCCACCTCAACGTCAACTCCTTCGCCTGTCTGAGGCAGCCTTCCCAGGGACCCACTTTTGGAGTGAAAGGTACTTCTTTAGCAACTAAAGCCAGTTTCCAGAGCAAAATTGGGGGAGCAAAAGTTCAAACTGAACATGAGGCACAAAGATGGAATTAAATGTTTGCAAAAGAGCTGCATGGTCGTTCCTCTCTATCTCCCCTGAACACTCAGGACGTAGCCGTCACCCCAAGTTGAACCTCCTAGTGCGTAAAGGCATGCAGAGGTTGCTGCAGGATTGGGGGGGTCTTCCGTGGAGCCCTGGGAAGCTGGTCCCTTGACGCTATTGCTCAGGCCTCCTGCCTCCAGCAGAGTCTTCTGTATCATCCCCACCTCCTTTGCCAAGTGATTTTGAAACTCTGCCCATCTTATTGGTGCTTCATCATCCCGGCCACAGTGAAAGGTCTCTTCCTGTACACATATGAGCTCTTTAGGTCAGGCCCCAAGTTGCAACTTGTGGGAGTTGTTGGGCAGGGCCAAGGAGCTCTGGAGAGGAGACAACTGGCTGTGTGCAGAGCTGTGAGGAAATTCCTCCCTGGCTTAGCTGAGCTGATGTCTGGCACCTTCCTCTTCATTACTCCTACTCTGTTGATTTATCATTAAGTCGTTCCTCAGCCCTTATTGCTGCAATTACTGCGTGTTCTTGGCAGTTTGTGGTTTTTAACTGTATTTTATTTATATCACTGCTACAAATATTAATAATTCCTAACCCATTAAGTACCGATTCCTCCTGGAGGGCCGTGCTTTATGAAGCAGATTGAACATGAGGCTTAGAGGAGAGGGGCTAGGGTTTTATCGTGGCTGGTGTCTCTCACCTCTGCAAGATTCTGTGGCGAATCTTAAAAGTCTCTGAGGCACATCTGTAAGTGTAGAAGGGCTTCTAGTACCAGGCTCATCTGGCTGCTGTGAGACTCAAATAATGTGGAGAGAACATCCGAAGAACAGGGTAGATTGTAAAATGATGTACGTTTGTAAGAGACTGATATCTTCAGTATAAGAACTAATCTTGGGAGGGATAAGCAGCCATCAGATGAATTGCCTGAAGCCTGTCATGTTTATGTCTGAGGTATTCCCAGGTGAGTATTTTTTGGTTCAGTTCTTGTTTGGCTGTCATGGTGCTGAAGATTGAACCCCAGCAGCTTGGGCATGACAGGCAAGACTGAGACACACACACACACACACACACACACACACACACACACACACACACACCCGCCCCACGGGCAGCCATTTCAGTTTGGGTATTTTTTTTTTTTTTTTTTTTTTTGGTTTTTCGAGACAGGGTTTCTCTGTGTAGCTTTGCGCCTTTCCTGGAACTCACTTGGTAGCCCAGGCTGGCCTCGAACTCACAGAGATCCGCCTGGCTCTGCCTCCCGAGTGCTGGGATTAAAGGCGTGAGCCACCACCGCCCGGCTGGTTTGGGTATTTTTGAGGGATGGTCTCACTGTGCGGATGAGGCTGGCCTCAGGTTTGATGCTCCTGATTCTGCCTCCTGGGTGCTCCACCAAGCCTGGCGGGTGGTGTTTGTATTTATGTCGTGTATGATTTAGATTAAACATAACCACATAGACCCTTAGATGAATTTAATAAAATGATCTCATATCCCCAGATACATGTTTTATGGTACTGATATTTGCTCTATTGTATTTACCTTTGGGGATGTTTTTTGTTTTGCTTCAGATGTTTTATTTGTGTGGTGCTAGGAACTGAACTTAGGGTCTCATCCAAACTAGAACAATACTCGACCACCAACCTATATCCCAACCCTTTTTTTTTTCAAAAATATTTTTTTTTGAAAGCAGGATCTTGCTAAGTTGCCCAGGCTAGCCTTGAACTCACTCTGTTGTCCAGCAGGCCTTGAATCCGTGATACTCCTCTCACTTTCCCTAGGAGGGGTAATTGTAGGCCTGTGTCAACTTTCCTTTTTAAACAAAGAAACAGAAGGCCTAAAATGGCATCGTTGGATACAATGCACTGTTTTTGTTTAATTTCTGTTTGTGTGGACAGAACCTCTGGGCCTTAGCAGGCTTCCCCATTGAGTATGAGTCGTGTCCTTAGGTCTGTGTGTGTCCTGTAACTGAGTCTGGGGACTCACCTCACTGTACCTGCTGTCTTGTCTAGGAGGAGCTGCAGGTGGTGGATATGCTCAGGTCATCCCCATGGAGGAGGTAAGGCCATGAGATGCTCACCTGAACACCTGACGCTGGTGGCTACATACAGATATGTGTGTGCTGCTTGGCGTAAATATTCACGTTCCACTAATATGCATATATTTTCCTATAGCAAATGGATGCTAACCTAGCCCCTGGTTGGAGTGTTTTATGAATAAATTATAAAAATGTGTGTGTATGTATATGTATGTATATGTGTATGTGTGTGTATGTATGTGTAGGCACGCACACACATGTGCACACACACCATACAGCCTTTCTAAATTCCAAAACGATTCTGTGTCCCCAAGCCTATGTGGACTCAAGCCCATTTTAGCTCAGACAGTGTTGTTCTGGGTCCCATCATTCGTTTCTTAGACTGCCAAATTCAGAAAGAGATGAATGACGTCTTCTACTGATTCTAGGCCACAAATAAAATCATCTCATAGAAAATGGGCCAAAGGAGTCGATGGCGTTGGTGCTTATTTCTCCAAGAATGCTTCCTTCATCTTGCTTCCTTTACCCCCATGTCTCGCGAGGACTTGTTCACCTCAGCCCCGCTCTCTCTCTCTGCACCAGCCCCACTCTTTCTCTGCATCAGCCAGGCTCTCTGCATCAGCCTCGAGGATCAGTCCTGAAATCTCCCTAAGCTCTTGTCCAAGGAGGACACTGTCCTTCCTATTGCCTGTCACTTCTGTGTGGCCTGAGAGATCATAGCAGGCCTTTGCTCCTACTTTGTAGTCTGTGTGACCGACCCCTCCTTATCAAGTTCCTTGGAGGTGCCGGTCCTGTTTTCCAAGTGGGTGCTGGGATGTAGGGTCTCATGAACGCTGAGCATGCACGTAACCACTGAGCTGTACTGGTACGCTGTTTTCTCTTGATTCTAAGATTTTTCCCATGCATGGAATCTACTACCCTTCCTCTGTCCTCACTACTCTGCCTGAGTTATGGCCTCAAGATTCTGCTTCACTCCAAAAGTCCCCTCATTCTCCTTCACAAGGTAGGAGATTCCAAGGCCTGAAGGCCAAGTTAGGATGAAGAACAAGGAACATGCCAGGGGAGCAGGTTGAGGTTTAACTAGCAAATACAGACAGAGCAATAGTACTCATCTACTCATCTGCATGGGTCTTCAATGCCATGGCTCAGTGTAGGGGTACTGTCTTAGCCCACACAGAGGCAGGCAGGTTGCCCCTTGAAGCTGGGACAAACTGTGTGTCTGCTCCATCTGTATCTACAGCTTGTAGCACAATGCCTTCCATGTAGTGGGTATTGATTGACCAGATTCCATACACAGGCATCAGAGACTCAAGAGTTGTCTGGAGAAATGTTAGAATGAGTTCTAGATGGGCCACGGAATTAAAGGCATTAAATTGAAGAGTGCCAGTCTTGTGAAAAATGAGGTAAGGCATTTGTAGTCAGAGAAACCCTATAAGGAGAGCCCTGAGACAGAAAAGGCTTTGCCTGTTCAGGAACCACAGGATGTCACTGAACTTGACCAGAATGCAGGGCCAGGGCATGCAGACCAAGGAAGCTGAGGCAGAGGAGTAGGCATGAAAGAGCCAGCCTTCAGTTCACAGCCAAGAGGTTAGGTTTGACTTGAAGGGTCATAGTCAGCCATTGGAGGATCTTGAAAGGAAAGTAATAGGGTTACACTGGGCTTTGTGTAATAATGTTAATAATTTCAGTCACGAACAAAATGTAGGATGGAATTTTCCACTTTCGGCTTCATGTGGATATTCAAAATGTTACAGATTTTTGAAGCTCTTTGGATTTCAGGTTTGGAAGTTAGAGATGTGAAACCCATAATAACTTTTCCTTGAAGGTTTGCAAGGGCCCACAAGATAGATGGCTCAGCATTTAAAGGCACTGGCC